ATTTTTATCTTTTAAAACAAATTCTTCAATTGTAACAATACGTTCATCAAATATTGTTTATGATCAAAATATTCTTTCGACATTTAATAGAAATTTTATTCAGAATATTAATTATGATGAAATATTTCAATCATTAATTATTCAATTAAATCGACTTCATTCACCAATTCAAAAAGGGTTAGAAAAAAAAACGAAATTTTTCGTATTAGTTTTTGTTTTTATTTTTAGATCATTGATTAAATTAATTGCTGGAGGTCTTCCAAAATCATCATCATATACAAAGGTTTGAAAACTTTTATCTATAGACGAATACAAATTTGAATTAAGATTTAACGAAGACATCAAAGCATATCATATAGATAGTATATACATTAGAAAATCTAGTAATACGGTTAGATGTATCTATATATTATCAAGTTTGTCAGATAATTCCATGTTTGTATTATTCTGTTTTTCGTAGGGAAGAGTCTTGCAAACATAAATTTTTTGCTTGTGTGTCCGTACTTCACTGATTGGTCCAAAAATTAGGTAAAGATATAAAAGGAATTTTCTTTATAAGGGTTGACGAAAGGGCAATCGGAGTTGAAGAAATCAAATCTGACTTCTGTTTTTTTTAGTTATATAAATCAATAGCTTGGTAGTTATTTAGTAACGCGATTTCTACGAGAAAGAGCTGAGCGAGTCTTTACATGACCGTTACTTGTCGTATAGAATCAGCTGAAAATTGGTTTGGATAATAATGATAATTACAGGGTGATCCGGAAGTGTACTATATCTATTTATAGAAACGAAATACCACTAATCTTCCTATACCATATATTCAAAAGAAGTTTTATCGTTTCAATTTTCTCTCTGCATATTCTCTCAAAGTAAATAATACCTGTCAAATTGATCTTATCAGTTATTATTTCTAATAAATTGTTGTACCTACTGTTTAATTAGTCTATACTGAATACATCTGAATAACTAAAAGCATGGAAACCAAGTCTAAGGCGAGTGTACAATCCTTGAAGTTTAATTTCGCTTTTCTCATTTTATGTATTGTTGAAAGAAATCAAGGCAGCAATTGATCGTATCAGAGCATGAACATACATTTTCGATTATAAATCTAAACATGTATTAGTAATATCGATAGGATTGATATCCACTATAGAAACCATAAGATGACGACATATATGATTCTTTTGAATGACCTTAGCAATAAATATCGATTCGAGGACTACTGTTTCTTATTAACTTAAATTTTAAAAATAGTTTTCGTCCAACATAGCGATGATATATTTCAGTATGATACAGGCACATCCGCAGAAATATTTTTTCGGAGGGGGGGGATCGATCCCCCATTCCCCCGCTGCGGACGTCCCTGGTATGATATTAATTCAACACTTAGACATGTTTTCAAATCCTTCAAGATTAAAAAAGTTTCGAAATCTCAGCAATAATCAAGGAGATCAATTCGATACATCTTCTTTACTTAGAATAAAATTTCACATTTCAATTGCTTAGAGATTAAACTAATAGTTTTAATTCAGATTTGATTAAATAATTCAATATCTCAGTTAGTAAGAAAAAAGTTTAAGTGATCACATAATACTATTTAAAATAAACTCTCAGAACTAATGAATTAAATACTTGTATTATTCTTCTTATACTTATATAAGCATAAGTAAACACTTATCAGTTGTTCGAACAAACTTCAAATCGTTAACTAATATTTTTATTTTAGACAAGTGATTTAATTCATTCGTTAATCGTTCGTGTTGATCAATCAGGTAAATTAAAAAATATTTGAAATAAAAATAAAAAAAAACTTTTTTTAATTAGAAATAAAAATTCATGATAAAGAAAAAGAATGTTCCAATCTTGAAAAAAGTTTAATAAATCTTCAATCTGAAATTGAATCTCGTGTTGATTACAATCAATTTGAACGTTTATGTGATGAATTACAACGTGCTTTAGATCGAGAAAAACAAGCACAAGAATTACTTAATGAACAAAATAATCAATTAAAATCTTTAACTGATATTATTCATCAAACACAAAATGAAAAAGATTTTATTCAAGAAAAATTTAATCAAATTATGCAAAATGAAATTCATTCAAAAGATAAAATTCAACACTTAAATAAAGCTCATCAACAAATGGATGAAAATGTTAAACGAGCTGAAAAAGCTATTCGTCTTGTTGTCAGGTATATTCTCTTTCTCGTAGAGAAGAGTCCAGTAAACATAAATTGTTTGCTTGTGTGTCCGCAGGGTCAAAAAAACATCGAGGACCAATTTTTTGGAAAAGATATTTCTAGAGGTATTTCGATGCGGGCACTCCGAATTGGAGGTCTGTTGTGTGATCAACGTGAAGGGGAGGGAAGAGATCAAAAAAACATCGAAAACGGATTTTTCACGGTTTTCAATTATTTTTCCAGTAGATGTGAAGACGATACATTTTCACGAGAAAGAGCGTTACTTGTTATTAACCATTAAATGCATAATTCTTTTTTTTTGAAGTGATAAAGAAGCAATTTCAGCATATTGTACTCGAATTAATTCTGTATTGAATGTAACTGAAAAACGTGGAGTCGATAATGTTGAACAGTTAATAACGCAACTACATGCACTTGCTCAACTTCCTCAAAATTTTGATCAAAAAAGATCACCACCAGAAATGGCTTTATGTCAAGTATGTTTTCGTTTTTTATTCCTTTGAAATAAACTTTTTTTCTTTCGATGAAATAGAGCATGGCTTTAGGATTTGTTAATTTATTAAATCGTTTAAAAGAATTATTAAATACAAATAGTAAAGATATTGAATCATTAAAAGAACATTGTCAAATGTTAACAGAACAATTTCGACAAACATCAGCAGAAGAAATTTCACAGATGGATTCATCACAAACAATTATTGTTCAAGCACATCCTGTTAGAGTTCAAGTTAATCATCATCCTCAATCAGCTTTTAAACCAATTAAATCTGAACAACACGATGATTAATTAATATTTATATCTAATATTTCCTTTTTTTTTGTTTTCTCAGTGTTGTTTCATTTGATGACTTTTTATAAATTGATAATATAGTGAATAGAAAATCAATAAATAGGAGATATCTTATGAATTTTTTTGTTCTTATTATATTTACAACAGTAGTTAAGTTTCATAGACGCAGTGCTTTATGCACGTTTCTTTTTTCGGGTAGACACCACCCATTTGCTAGATAAAACACTGCATAGACGAATAACATTCAACCTAACGACCGTGATCATTTCTATTCAATAATTAAATGTCTTATGTTATAGAAATCGATATCATGTAGATATATATTCACGTTCGATGTAATTTAGTTCTCTTAAATATGTTTATTTTGATGGCTAGTTAACTGTTAATAAATGCACTTCATAACCCATTCATGATTTATTACTGTTTATTTACCAGGGTCGTTTTTAGTATTATCATATAATGAATCAGATCATTTTTTTCGTTCTTTTATATATTATGGGTATTACGCGCTAGATAAGAGAATACAGTTTCTAGATTTTTCTTCTTTCATATTCTTGTCTCTCTGTCCTTTTAATGTATAAAAGCGAGCGAAGTTCCGAAATAATTAATATTTCCATTTGAATCTGAAAGTTCTGATGAATTTATATATATGGAATGGAATGAAATATTATGGGCTCATCAAAGAAATAAATTTTGTTTCAAAAGATAATATTATCGGCATTTCATCGGAGACGAATTTCTTCATTATATGGATTCGTGAAATCAATCCATATACCGAACAGTATTTTGTCAATGGAAACTACTCCTTGATGAAGGACACTTAGATTGTATGGATTCAAGGTCATTCGAACTAGGATAAACTAATTGTTCAAGTTGAAAACGCTCTCGAATATATATTGAAAGCCAGATTTTCATCAGTATATATGAATGAGGTAGGCTTTTATTCAAACAATAGATTCCTAGAAAAGCACATAAGTATAACATAATGACACACAAAATCCCATGGCAAATCTCGGACATAGTCAAACGGTCTTTCGAAATACTATCGAATTGTTATAGCTGATAACTTCATTATCAGTATTTCTCTTGTGAAACGTTTCTTTGAACATGATAAGAGTTATGAGAAAAAATTAAGACGCAAATATTCACAAGGTCATTGCATATTCAATAACTGCGATGGACACTGAACAAATCAATACTAAAAATGAATATATCATGAATTTACACTTTAATTTTCAATGACATAGTTTCTCTTATTTGTAAAAGTTAAAAAGTGGATTTTTTGTTTCGATGTACGATTAATATTAATTTAGATTATTAGAACAATTAATCCAGAATAAATTAGACTATTTGTCCATTTGATTGAAACACTTTCTCTAATAAAAAATATAACGCTTAAAATCATACATAACTCTTTTTAGATATATTGATGAAAGGTAAAAACATACAAATAGATGTCAAATGTAGATGGTCAAGCATAATAAATGACTACGCGTTTTAATTTCAATGACCCTGTTAAAAAAGTAAAATATACGAAAAGATGGAGCGTGAAAAGCGCTACAATTTACAAAAGAACAGTCATAAAAAGATGAAATAAAAAAAACGAACGAATTCATTTTGTACCAAAAATAAATATCATTTTCGCATGATCGAAATTTGATCGCTCCAAATGTATTACGCATTTTAAAAATAAAAAAGTGCAACTATAAAATAAACGGTCTTATGTAAATTGTAGAAGTTTTCATGCTGCATCTTTTACGGGACGATAGGGAAGTAAACCGCGTAGTTGCTTTACGTTTAAAATAATTTTTTCGTTGCAAAAGATACAAACAGTCTAATTTATTCTGATTCACTAAGTTTTATTCTAAATTTCTGATATAAATGAATTATATATCTAATTCTTATTTATTTATTGAATGATTCTAAATTCTAATACAAGATGTAACATGAATGACAGAAAAAAAACAATTTTTTTTAAAAAGATGCTTTTCCACAAACAGTTTATTCAATTTAGTGAATATATTCACTACTTATATCATGTGCTGCATACACATTACTTGAATAAGGCGGTGATGGATAAAACACTTTACCATTGGATTCAGCCCTAAAATAAAATTTTCTTTAAATAGATTTGAAAAAAAAAGAATTTAAAATTTACATTTTATTTTGAATTGTTGGAGGTAATGGTAATATGTAAAATGATAAAACAACCAGTGAGAACGCACTAATTATTGATATAGAAAGAGCAACAAGAGCTAACCACCATGCAAATGATAAATGACCTGAAAATGTATTTTTTCCTTGAGCAGCAAATAAACCAATTGTTGCTGATGCAAAAATGACTAAAAAGAAATTATTTACTTTTTTTTAATTGAGATTTTAAAACAAACCTGTTATAAACATTGACATAGATGATGCAAAAAATAATAAACCCATAGATCTTTGACATAAACCGACGACAAGTAAAATTCCAGCAATAACATAAAATACTAAAGCAACAACTTCTAATGATTGACTTGTTCGAACAAAATCTTAAATAAAATAAAAATAATGTATAAAATTTTCGAAAAAAAAGAAGAAAACATTTTACCAGGTGGTCCAAGAAATGCATTATTTGTTATATTAGTTGGATATGAACGAGAACTCCAATCAGCACATCGATCATAACCAGCAACCTATTTAGAATAAATATTTAGATTATTTTAATTAATGTAACAAAAAAAAATATGAATAACGAACTTCAATGTCACATAAACGCCATATACCAATTTTGATTGGAACTGTTCCATAAACAATCCAATCCGATAAACAAAATGATATTAAATAAAGAATAAATGATAAAAAGTAGGATATTAGAGATATCCAAAGACTTGTTAGGCCAATTGAACCAGACACACGAACAAAATGCATTCTTTTTCCTTTCTTTAAACTCGTTCAAATGAAAAATGATAACAAGGAGCAGGTCAACATCGTTCATGCGTTAAATGGACATTAATGCTTTTCTTTCACTATCATTTTTTTTTATCGACCAAACCATTTATTTTGTTCAATATAACAAAAAAATTGTGAACAGATGTCTATAAGAATGATGCATTGATGACAAATTTAATATATGATTACCTACTTTACTGATAGAGGCCTGATAAAAACATAGTTATCCTTCGATCATGATTTTTGTCGTTGTTATCAAATAAGTCACATTGTTGTTGTCGTCACACATGAATGATTAGTAGAAATAAATAAATCGTAACTATATGTTGTCTATAGTATATATTTATTTTATGACGAATGGGTTTGATAGAATCTCGACTGGGTCAATTAAATAATATTCCAAGAGAAAATAATTCATGGCGAATAACAAGTGTAGATTTTGCTAGAAGAATAATTAAAATAAATAAAACAAAATATATTATTGGAGAACATGAATTAGGAAGAGGAGCATTTGGAAGAGTTTATCCAGCACGTCGATCAACGGATGGTTTGTTTTTTATTTGAAAATATTCAAATAAGAATTTTGTTTTTTCAAGGTGTTAATGTTGCAATAAAAGTCGTTAGTTTAGCTGAAAATTCCGAGATATCTCCATTATTAGGTGAAGCATTTTTAAATGAAATACTTCAATCAAAAAGATTATCAGCACAATCAAAACATGTTGTCAGAATGTATGACTTTGATTTTGATCCAGTTGGTCTTGCTTTTATTGTTATGGAACGTGGAGGTTTAGATTTAGAAAAAACTCTTATAAATAAAAGAACAATATCAATTGCTCAACAAAAAAATCTGTGGAAACAAATGTTAAATATTCTTATTACACTTCATAAAAATTCTCTAGTTTGTTTTTATATTTTAAATTAATTGTTTTTTCATAATATCTATTTTAGGTACATTTAGATTTAAAACCATCGAATCTAGTCTTTTTTGGTGATCGATTAAAATTAGTTGATTTAGGTATTGCACAAAAAGCGAATAGTCGAGGGTAAAAATCATTTTTCTTAATGTAAAATAATAATTTTTGTTTTTAAATATTTAGTCAAGGTCCGAATGGTACATTTGGTTTTACTGCACCTGAAGTTCGTTTAATTCCACATAATTCTTCTCCTCGTTATACACATAAAGCTGACATATGGTCATTAGGTGCGATTTTATATTGGATTAATTATGGACATGGTCCTCAATATGATCAACATGATAGATCTTATCGACCTCCACCGGGAATACCTTCAGCTAGAGATCCGAATATTGTTGATATTCTTCGGCATACACTTAGAATGAATCCTCATCGACGACCTCATACTGATTGGCTTGCTCGTCATCCATTTACACGTTCATTTTAATAAATTAATTTTTTTTAATAAAATTGAGAAGAATGGAGAATAGTTTAATTTTTCTTTTTCTTTCTTCGTCGTCTGAGTAAATTGTGAAGAAGAATATTGAAGCATATCAAATCATTATTTTTGATAAAATCAAAAATCTTCTATTGTTTATTTTAAAAAAAAACTGATGAGAAGTAAATTATTCTATGTCATTTAACTGATTATAATCACAAGTTTCATTTCTCGTGTGAATAGATAAATTAAAATTTTTATCAAATAAATCTATCAATAGAATTCGAATTTTAATTATTGTTGATAGAAATTAAGATTAATTCACGTATAGAATATTGTACTTTTCATCGAATATTTAAGATCCAAATTTCTATATAAATCATATTCATTCTGTTATATTTTAAAATATCGTAGTTAATTTTAATGACATAGAAAAGAATATTTACATATTCTAAAATTGATCATTATAAAATAATCTGTCGTAAGAATATATTTCATTATTTTTATAAAGTAGAGTTTATTACTGAATCTATGTTATTACATGTGTCCTTGGTCTTATTGACCTGGATATGCGTATATATACTGTACGTAAAAAAGAAAAGATTGCTATTTTCATTGTCGATAATTGATGAGTACATATATATCGATATGGTAAGATAAATATATATATATGTATCTATATATCTAGTTGAATTTTGATAAATTATTTTTATTGACCTTCTTCACTCAATCGAGATATATGTGATTGTTATTCAAACTCGAGAGTAAAGGTTAAGTTGACGAAGAAAACGTAATCGGCGAAAATGAAATTATTAAGTAATGATTTTTAATAAATTGAATAGATTCATTTTCAATCTTATGCATCGATTCGAAACACTTGATAGATATTAGTTTTCTATGACATACAAACAAAATTTATCAAATTAATTTTTATAAAAAAATAATTGAAAATGTCTACAATTAAATTACACAAAAAAAATGTCTTCAAATTACAATTATAATAAAATATATAAACAATTAAATTGTTTCTACAAAATTCTGTGTTGTATTTCTATCTTTATCGATAATATCTTCTGATTAAAGTATAAATAAAAACTTTTTGATTGAAAAAGAGTATGATCTCAATGCTTTTCTCTGCTTCAGTTTATATAGAGATAATTCATGATAAAACGAAAAATCAAGGTACTTTCAGTATTTTTTAGTAGAAATAAATTTTTGCCATGAGTCAATTTCGATGATGTTGAACAAAATAAAAATATTAGAAATTGTCGAATATGTCAATACTTCATTTTTAAATATATTTTCTTGTCTTCACTAATATCAATGGTCATAAGTATAAACAAAGAATAATTTACTTAGAAATACATATTCTATATAAGAACTTTAACTGATTATCATGATATACTAGATAATGGTTCCAAATATTTGATTACATGTATTATTCGTATTTATTATATAGAACTAGAAGTGTAAACCGCCGCTGTTGACACCCATAATAAATATCGATTTTTTTATTTATATTTTTCTTAATTCTACATTGATTAAAATTCCTAACTAGTTACAACCGCTGCAGAATCTTGAAATTTCAACTATAAATTTAAGTTTTATGAGCAATCAGTAGTAAGATGTTAGATCGGTTTTAATCCAAAGATCAAAAGTAAACAGTATTGCTTAATTTTGAGAATTATGAATAAACTTAAAAACAAGACATGCAAAAGTTTTCTCTTATTCTTTTAGTCAGTTTAAGAATCGAAATTATTAAGTTTTAAATAATATAAACATAGACTGAATAATTAGATAAATCAATTTCTAATATGAAAAATATCGAAGCTATTTCACTTGGTTCCATTTTGTGAAATGTATTTATCTATTTCTTAATTTATTATAAAAATAGTCTATATATTTAAGTGACGGAAGAATGTCTCATGAAATTATGATTTTTTCATATAATTAATTCAAGAGAAATTTTTATTTTATTAGAATTTAATATATTAAATTGATAAACGTATAATTTGCTCATTAAGTTTGAAGTATCTTTTTTCCTCTATAAGCGATTCAGAATATCCCCTTGGAAGGAACATTCAGTCTTAATGGATTAAATTTACCACTGTTCTCAATTTATATGAAAAGTATTTCTACTTATTTATTATTATTCAAAAAATGAATGGAAGTAATATTTCTCACTTTTCAATTCGATGTAAGGCTTGCCTAAATTTTTATCTTGTTGCTACGGACAATAGAAAGTCATTGCTTCGTTTGAAAGTCATTCAAGATTAATTTTTTTTCTTTCTCTATGACCTATCAGACCTTCTTATTCTAAGGAAACATTACATTTCTTTAAAAAAAAATTTCACATATTGTATCACAATTATTAAATATCGCTTTTGACTTTTAATGGTTAAATTGAAGTTTTAGCAGTTATTTGAATATAAATGAAGATCATGTGAACTATTATCGATTGGAAAATAAACAACAAGAAATATTCGTTTTTTTTCTGATAACGTCTACTTAAAATATTTATTAGACAGAATAATTATCTATTTCTATTTTTTTTTCTTCTTAACTATAAGACTCGCCAAATAAAAAAAATACCGAGGGACCTAAAAGTCACTTTACCGTACAGAAAATTGCATATCTCTCTCGTGCGTTTCGTACGACAAGGCTGATTATTTTATCGGTTATAGAAGCATGTTTATTCTTCATTTCAACCGAGACAGACTTAGACAGAACCTCTACAGAATATTAATATTGGTCCTAACAGAAAAAAATTTGTCTTTTCATAGGTAAGAAAAAACTTTCGTGTGATTGGGAAAAGTTAATTTATTGAAGATGAAATATTATGCAGACATGATAGGAATCTTAGTATTCCGTAGAAATTCTTTCTAAGTCTATCTCGGTGAACAGACTTTCATAACCGGTAAAAAAAATCAACAGCGAAATATGCAATTTTTTTTTTGTACGATAAAGTGACTTTGGATAAAAAATATAGAAGTATAATCATATATTCTTCATATTTAAGTTAATTCTCTTTCTCGTAGAGAAGTCTTGTAAACATAAATTGTCTACTTACTTGCGTGTCCACACTTCACTGATTGGTCCAAAAATTACGTAAAGATATAAAAGGAATTTTTTTTATAAGGGTTGACCGAAGGGTAATCGTGGTCGAATCTAAAGCCGGTTTTTAAATAAATAGTTTACTAGTAGCGAACACACGTTGATTCTACGAGAAAGAGATGAGCGTTACTTTTTCTATACAATCGAAGTATATTATATAATTTTATTTTTCCATATTATACAATAAAATATGTTCTTTATATGATCTATATAAATATGAATGTTTTATTTTGATATATTTCTATTTATCCAGTCATTAGTCATCTGACAAATCTCATACGTTTGACATGATTTATTATTATAATTAGTAAAAACGTCTGAATCTATTCTTTTGTTATTTTATTTAATTGATAGAAAACATCCTTAGATGAATTTTAATCTTGCTAATTTATTTTATTAATAAAATATTTTATAAAATGATCTATGTAAGTTTGATATTTATCGATTTTTTTTTCTTCGGTTCAAATGAAAGAAAGAAAAAAAAGTACATAACAAGTAGAATAAGACAAAGTGGTGAACGGGCAAAAGTCAACATTTTTTCTTCTCTCTCCCTTTTTCTTTTCTCAATGAAAGAGAATATTCAACCATATCAAATAATTATCTCCTAATGAAACAAAACGTTTCATTTCTTCTTTTTTTTTCTGTTTATTTAAAAAAGAAATGTGAATAGAATAAATTTTTTATTCTTATTCACATAATCTAGCTGATTAGGATCATTAGCATCTCATTCCAGTCATAACAAACTTATGTTTTTCTTTTCTCTCTGAACATATAGATGATTAATGTTTCTTTTTTTTCTCACCACGAAGATAAAAAGTCTCTTGAGATATTTTACATCATCATCACATCATCTACATACTTTAAAGACAATCATCATAAAATGAATCTTAGCTTAAGGCAAGATGACAACCTTCTTTCAAGGATAGATTCTCTTTTATAGAATAGAGCTCATTATTATGTCTATGTCATTATATATCTTCTTTTCTTTTTTCTTCTTCTTCATCTCATTCAAATATATATCGATGCTTACATAAAATATAAGAAAGAAAAAAAAAGAAGATTTTTATTTTCATTGTCGATAACTGATGAGTATATATGATTCGATACGGTAAGATGAACACACACACACACGCATAGGTATAGATATATACCTATTTGAAAAATTTACCAACTATTCTTACTGGTCATTTTTATTCAATCGAGAGAAAAAACGAAAGAAAGATTGATTGTTGTCCGTTAGCCCTACGGTGGTCATATGTCGAACTTAATAAAAATAACAAAGAAAAGGAACTACCTATTGGTTCCATTTGAACAAATATATTCTTCAAAAGAGATCAAACAAGTGACATTTTTTCTTGATGATGGATTAATTATTCGAGTAAGAATAAAGAGAAGAGAAGAAAAAAAAAGGTTCATTCATTTTATTAGCTGAAGTATGATGTAAAAGATTTCTTCTTCTTTTTTTTTATTTTTTGTATAAATGAGAATGAATCTAGTTAAAATGAATTGAGTTCATTAGATATTTGACACATCCCAGTTGTTCTTTATTCTCTTTTCTGAACATTGTCTTGTCGAGTAGAAATATAAATGAGAGATGACAATTAACATATTGATCATTCGATAGACTAGTGTCTATCGTTGTTCTTCGACAAGCTTTTGACTAATTGACATTGTGATGGGATATGGCTTTTTCTTCTTTTTTTTTTCTTCTTCTTCTTATGTGTTGGTCAAGCAACACTCACTTTCATTTCGTTTCAGATTGATGACGACATTCAATGTTATTATTCTTATTAATATTAGTTTATTTGGTCAATGGAATAAAGATCAATAATCAATTTCTTCAAGAACCTGAAGATGTTGAAACAATAATTGGATCAACATTAATTCTTCATTGTCGAACTGAACCACTTGATGAAAATCAAGTTACTTGGTGTAAAAATGATTTTTGTACATTAGGAAAAACACGAGATTTACCATTCTATCCTCGATATGAAATTATTGGACAAGCTCATCAAGGTGAACATCATTTTAAGATAGTAAATGTCTCATTAGAAGATATGGGAATGTATCAATGTCAAATTCGAGCTGGAGCAAGACGAGCTGGTTCAATGTCTCGAAAAGCTAAATTAACTGTTTTACGTAATGAATTTTTAGTTTATTTTTTGAAAATCGAAATATTACATTTTCATATTTTATAGAAATTCCAACAAGTTTATCATTAGATAGTCCAATTGTATTAATAGAAAATGTTTTATCATTTATTGTATGTCGAGCGCAGAATGCAATGCCTGAAGCTAAACTTTCTTGGCATTTACCAAAATCGATTAGTTATTTATCTAAAAATGATTATGCTCTTATATCTGATCAATCATTAAGAAATTCAATTTCAAATATAACATTTATACCCAATAGATTATATCATGGCAAACTTATTCAATGTCAAGCACATTCATCAGCAATTGATATTATGAATAAAACAATGATAACACAACAATATATTCAAACGATTTGTAAATATTTTTTATATTAGAAATTTATTTATTTATTTTTTTTTTTGTTTATGTATAGTTTCACCGGAAATTAATATTAGTTTAATTGGTGAACAAACAGAAAATGAAAGAATAAATATTTCTTGTAATGTTTATTGTCGACCGCATTTGGAGAAAATCAAATGGTTCAATGGAAGTTCTTTATTAAATTTAACTGATAAAAATCATTTTGAACTTTTATTAACAAGATATATGCATAAAAATCAGATTATTTGTCAAGCAACAAATCAAGTTGGAATACAAAATCAATCAATTACACTTTTAATTAATTGTATGAAATATTTTATAGAGATTTTTTATTTTTTAAATTTTTGTTTTTTTTAGATAAACCAATATTTATAGATAATTATGGAAATCAAATAAAAAATTATTCAGTTATTTTAGTTGAAGAAGGAGAATCTGTTGAACTTCAATGTTTAGTTGATTCATATCCATCATCATATATATCTTGGATATTTAATCAGCAGACTATTCTAAAAAATGAAACATCTTTGAAAATCTCTAATATTCAATCAACAAATCATACAGGTGTTTATATCTGTAGTGCAAATCATTCTATATTTGGAATATTTAATCGAACAATTCGTGTTGCATTAAAAGGACCACCGGAAATGATTAGTGAAACAACAGTTAATTCAATTTATGTTGGACAATCAATTCTACTTGTTTGTTCAATATCAACTGATATTCCTATTGAAGTTTGTTTTTTTTATCGAAAATTCTTCAAATATTTTATTTATTTTCTTTTTTAAAGAATATCTATTGGTCACGCGAAGGACACTCAAGATTAAATTCAAATGAAAAATATGAAATAAGTGAAAATCGTAGTGATGAATCAGTTGAATATAAATTATTAATAAAATTTATTTTATCATCAGATGAAGGTGATTATATATGTACAGGTATTAATCAATATGGTTCATCAGTAACAAAATTTCAATTACGTGTTATTAATTTAAAAAATTATTTTATTCAACGTTCATTTTTATATGGATCAATATTTCTTGGTCTATTTTTTTGTTTTATTTTAATAAGTTTTTCATTAATTAATCATTATCGACAAAAAAATGATCAACGAATACGAAAAAAATCTTCAACAACTGATGAAACAATATCATCTTTAGCTAAACAACAAGAAAATATTCAACATGATTATCAAGATGAAACAAATTCAAATATTGATCAATATCTTTATCATGAACAATTAATTAATAATCATCAACGAAATGTAAGATTTTTATCTTAGCTCATTTTATAAATAATATCGAATATCTATTTTAGAATATATTTCATTCATCACAAAATGATCTATTTTATTTCAAAGATAATATTGAAAGATTTTCAACTGTTGTTTAAATATATATACGATCACTGGATTTGTAAAACAATTTTGTTTTCTCTATTGTCAACTTTTTTTTCTTTTTTCGATTAAAAACAAAAACAAACTTAGATCGTTACTTTATAAGAAAAAAAATATTTCGATTAATTACATAATCACTATAGATATGTTTTATCATCAAAAATCGTGTTATTAAATTGTCTACTTAATTTAATTTCATAGAGACTATTACTTGAATTAACATTATAGTCTGCGTATATATAAGTAATCCAATTTAGACTTTCGATTTTGTTAATCAATATTGAGTTTGATGGTGACACACTATAATGATACGAAAATATTTAACTTATATGTAATTAAAAATATAATAAGCATACGTATCTTTTACTAAAAATATCTCGAATTTGAATGACCTGTAGTATTTAACGTCGTTCTCATTATTGAAAATAAAACATTGTCCAAGTTCATGATGATGATAATTCTCTTTCTCGTAGAGAAGAGTCCAGTACAAATTAATTGTTTGCTTGTCTGTCCGCAGGGTTAAAAAAACATCGAAAACCAATTTTCTAAAAAAGACATTTCTAGAGGTATTTCGACGCGGGGACTTGGAATCTGAGGTCTACTCGGTGGTTATGATGAGGGGAGGGAGCAAAGGTCAAAAAAACATTGAAAATCTATTTTTCACGGTTTTCAATTGTTTTTTCAGTAAATGTGGGGAGGATGCATTTCCATGAGAAAGAGCTAAGCGAGTTCTCGGACAAGCGTTACTCGTTTTTATACAAAAATAATTATAAACAAATACCGTTCTTCTTAAGACTCACTCAGCTCTTTCTCGTAGAAACGATGTGTCTTAACTATCAGTAAACTATTTATTCAAACACTTTCAAAACCTAACGTCGAATTCGTATTCCTGGATCCTGATTAACCTTCAGTTAACGCTTATAAAAAAATTTCTCCTATATCTTTAACCAAACCTTGGACCAATCAGTGAAGTGCGGACATACAAGCAATCAAGCAGATAATTTATGTTTGCAAGACTCTTCTCTACGAGAAAGAGAATAAACGTAACTAGAGCTTTCGATGCGAACCTTGCCGTTATGTTCTTAATGTTAATAAACATTTTTATTATCTTTTGTATTTATTGCAAATGTTTATTATCATTTTATTTGAAGTTTATCTTAAAAACGGAAGTGTGTTAATTGATCTTTTCTTTTTCTAGTTAGTTTTAATGTTCAATTTGTTGCACATATGTCACATTAATGTAATTATTTAAGAAAGAAAATTTGTTATTTTAATAAGCATTACTTTTCAGTAGCATATCGAAAATTTATTTTTTTTATTTTAATAGATTTCTTGTTAACTAACTTACAATTTCATTGGAAAAATAAAATAAAACATATATACGATCAAATTTCATTCCTTTTCTAGGACTATCTACTTGCCATTCTACGTATTTTCTTACCTAACTTCATACATTTCTATCATAGATTTATTTTTCTACTAAATTTTCTATGTAGCTTTTACCGAACTATTGTATCATGTATGTATAAACCATCTATTCTGAAAAAGTCAGTAGGACTTAGTCAAATACATTGGACGATTTTTATATACATAGTATAAGTCAAATTTATAATAAAAAATTGCCTTGAAAAAAGTGTCTTAGAATAGTTTTCCTTTTGTATACTTGTACTCTAGAATTTCTCAGTGGATTGGCTTAATGACTTACTTAGGACTCACTAGAGATTTCACATTTTTTAGAGGACTTCCGAAGGACTCTATAAAGGAGAGTCAATTGATTTTTATTTCAGTTAAGGAAATAATGAAAATCTTGATTTTCCTAAAATCTCTCGAAAAACGTATATAAAGATCTTTATTTAATTGTTCTAGTTACTTTTTCGAATTCAAAATGAATAATCTTCAATATGATTTTATTGTATATTTTGTTTTTGGTCTATGAATATATTACCGAGTTATTCATATTGTTCGATATCTAATCTTATTGTTCCAAGTGTGATCACGATCATATACACTTGTAATTCTGAATTGTACAAATCTTGCAGACAATTATTTCAATAAAATCATAGTTCGACATTTTATTATGTAAAGTTTTAAAATACATATCCGATTAGACCTATCTTATTAAAAATAGAGCATACTGACGTCGATACAAATGTTACATGTTCAGTACAACTAAGAGAATTTTAATAGCATTACAAAAATAAACCAAAATAGATTTTTTCATGCGTATAAATATAAAGTCATTAGTAAATTTTTTAAAATTATTATTGAATAAAATTAGATGTTAAAAGTGACAAAGGGCATCACAATCTGATGAAGAATAAAGCGAGTTATTTTAAACCTGATAATGGAATCTATATTGACGATAGATTGTCGTCGCTTCATATGATAATCTTAACGTTCTTTCTTGGAACATCAAAAACTTAATATTTCTATCTAGTATATAAGTATCAATTAGATTTTCTCGAATAGGATTTATTTTATTAAATGATTTTTGCCATTTAAATTTTTTTATTATTATCCTGATGACATTCGATAGCTGTTTATATTCCGAAATGGATAGTAGCTATTACGTTTAGAGAAAAATAATCATCTTACATATCTATAATTTAAACTAGATATGCGCATGAAAATATTTATTTAATGAGAATAGATAAGTAGATAAATTTAATGAGAATAAATAGAAAAATTATTCTAACGTATTTATACTCATTTTTGTCAGATTTTTAGATTTCTATAGAAATATAAAATGTAAGTTCAAAAGAAGAAATAAATTGAAAGTGTTGCTAATTGTGTAGGCCTTAAAATAGCAACGCTTTTACTAAGTCATGTCTCCTATTACACTTTAACAATAGAAATCTTAAGTGCGACACATAAAGTAGAGTTTCAGTCGTATTTGTATTCATTTAGTTGAATTTTATTATCATCATTTTCAACAAACGTTCATATTCAATTCGGATAGAGAAGATGATTGGAACAGTTGAGATTATTTTCATTATACAAATAGTTGCTTTCCTATTTGTGTTCCTAGTAATGTCAACCTATATGTTACCAGTTATCTTACATCGACGTTTTCATAATAGAAATAATATTCTAGTGGGTCATTTTTGTCTACTAAATATTATTTGTTGTATGTATTGGATTTTATATTTTGCATTATCTATGTATAATCCAGCAATTTTCTATCAATCTATTATTATGTGCATTTTTGATCGATTTTTATCAGTCGTTCTCAATTCGTTAGTGGTTTACTCTTTAGCATTAATTACGATCAGTCGATGTTTTCGAATTATCTATCCAAATCTGAGATTATTAAAGACTCGAACAGGATTTTTTCTGTCATTTGTTGTACAATGGATGATTTCTATTATTTTAACAATACCATCTCTTGTTATCGATGTGAAGGTAAGAATAATCTAATACAAAAATTAGAATCAAATAAACCCCCCCCCCCCCCCCCCCC